TGCCCAACAATGCAAACGTGTGGCATCACACTGCGCTTTAAGCACCGACAGCGGGCAAGGCAGAGGAAGATCGCGAGCATCTTGGAAGTGCGGGCATTCGAAAACCCTATGGAGCACACTGTCAGGGCGACCGCAAAATGCACAAGCGTCCGACTCCCCCTCGGAGAAGTGGCACAATGCATCTTGCGTAAAGAATGATCCATTCAAGGACTTTCGTGCCAACGCTTTGTATTCAGACTCCAACCGACCGAAGATCAAACGCGTCAGATGTGCATCGCAACCTACAAGGCCCGCAAAGCCTTTTCGATGCGACACACTGTGCTGAACGGCAGCTTGCCACTGAAGGACCAAACGTGCTTCAACTTCTTGACAAGAAAGCTTCCACGGGTCAAGATTGCCAAGAGAATCCTGGAAACAGCACGACTCAGGAGACCACGCGATGCCAATAGCATTAGCCCGTGACAACAATACTCCCGCCGGCCCTGGCTGACGCACCGAACTTGAAGAGGCCAAATCCAACAACGGCGCAAGCACTTCCAAGGAACCGTGAGCAATTGCATCACGAAAAGAAGACCGCAACGCATAATACTCAGGATCCGCCAGTGGAAACTCAACTAAGCTCAACTGAAGACGAGAACTAGCACCCGGAGCCTTGGCTCCCAAACCAATCATGGCACCATTCCGCAAGGAGCGAAAGGAAGCAGCTGATAAAGTAACGATGCTGACAGCATGCAAAGCCATAGGCCACGCAGCAACCTGAAGAGCCCGAACTTTCTGAACATACGGGGCAAGCGAGCATTTCAAGCGAAGCCACTTCGGAACTAGGTCCTTGCAACGTGCGGTCTGTGTGTAGTTGGTATGGCGTCTTGAAACTTGCAAGTGGCCACCAAGATCACGGAAATCCAAAGCGACACTACACCGATTCGAACGCAACACCTTCCGATCAGCCGCTGCAGTGGACCAGAAAACCGTCTTGCTTGAGTCCACTTCAAGGTCCCATGCGCGGGAGAAGTCATCTTGAGCCGCGGCAGCTCGCAGAATACTCATGGGACACGAAGCGGTTGTTTCCCAGTTGTCAACGAACGTCAAAGCCACACAATCCGGAACAGAGGCAGCCATGTGCTCATGATAGGCAAAATTAACCAGGGTCATTGCCACACAACTCAGTGCGTCTCCCTCGGGGAAACCGGTCGAGCTCATAACCCCTGGCCCAACAGACCCACGAATCCTGAAGCGGCGCTCAAGGCCAACCAAAGCAGCAGACCAGGCACGAACCAAACCACATGGGATGCCACACAGCATGGCGAATGCAAACGTAGGCGCCCGAGGCAGCAAGTTGAAGGCCTTGACTAGGTCAGCGCTAAATCCTGAAAGGGGGAGGCCTTCACGCAAGGAGCGCTCAACCGCAAGCTGGATGGAATACCACGCGTTGGAAGCCGAACGTCCCGGGACGTTGCCGAGAAGGCCGGGCGGGACAAACTGGGACAAGTGTCGCAAGCATTGACGGGCTCGGATACTGCCCCAAACGCGGTAAACCATAGATAAGACGGAAATGGGCCTGAATTGCGTGACCAATGAAGCCGACGGAACCTTTTCCAGAGCAGTGACAACCCCCTGGAGCATTTGGCGAGGCCAAACCCCATGTTGTTCCGCATGTTCGCACAACCGAATAAGCTCAATAGTAAGCTCAGGCGGCATCAACAAGAGATCTTGTCTGGAGACTCCATCAAGGCCGGTCGCACTGCGGGTGCTTTTAGCCCTGACGGCCGCTTGCCACACAGGCAGGGTGATGGGCTCAAGAGCCATAGGAGGAAAAACACGACGCTCCCGAAACGAAGAGATGAGGTCATGCCACCTTTCAGGAGAAACATTGTCGTGTCGCTGCCACCGTCGAGCCCACTCCTTGCCAAACTTGGCAAACAGATCGGGAATCGTACCAACCAAAACAGATTGAACCACCTTATCGCCAATGGCACACGGCGGGGCCTCCTGACACCAGATCTTGTCAGGCTCAACATGTATGGGATCAATGCACACACCGTTCACGTAGAGCGGGAAATCGGGGCTCCAAGGAATCTCCTTGTCAAGCACAACCGCATTGTCACCGACATCAACCTCTTCAACTTTCGCGTCAAGCGGCTCAATTAATGACTCAACCGGTTTAGCAGGAGCGGCACGAAGATCGCGGAAGATGATGCTAGGGTCGGAAGCGCGACGGGCCGTAGCCTCACAGCGACGTGCAGAAAGCAACTGCCTCTCCCAAGCACGAACATTCGCCTCGAAAGAAACAAAGACTTGAGTCACAACGTCCAATGAAGGAATACAGAGCGGGATGTCGACCGGATCGGTGGGAAGCTGGATTCCACGAGTAGGCCACCAAACCTTGAAAGGAGCCCCAAAACCAGGAGCACGAAGAATGGAATCCCACAAACCCGCACGATACTCCAACGCAGAGGGCGTCGAACTGGCCGAAATGAGGGCCTGGCGAAGAGCCTGAAGGCGACGAAGCTGCCGAAACCACTGTGCATAACGAAGGTTTGGCCCGAAAAAGGCAGGGGACACTTCAGAAACGCGGGACTTCGGAACCGGAGCAATCCTCAACTTGCTACACTTGACTTCGAAAGTGCGGGCACGCCCCTTTTCACGAGAACACAGAGGTGGCAAGTTGCGGTCAAGAAGAGCGCGCGAGAGCCCAAACTCAAAACGCTCGCAAACCGCAGCATAACGCTCAGACGGAGGGCTGGCTGAGCAAACTGGGCCACCCACAGCGCAAACATGAAAGGGCTGAAGATGAAGAGACTGGCGATGAACAGGCATGCGCCACTGAAAGCGCGGGACAAAGGAGACGGATGTGCGGAATTTCGCCGAAAGCACAGCATGATCAGCGAAAAACGTCTCATCAACCATGGTTCGGACAAACATGGCGGCCAACTCAGCCGAAACAAACAGGAAGTCCTTTCGGGTCTTGCCTTTACATGTGGGGCGAGGTTGGCAACCGGTTGCCCAGCACATGAGGTCTTGCACTTCGCAAAAACCACGCTCACGCCAAACATCAACGAAATCGATTCTGTCCACCTCCAAATTGAAATCCCCGGCCACGAACCGAGGCCCGGAAGCACCCAACACCACCCGCTCAGTGAGGGCCTGAAGCAGACAAGACGTACGAGAGGAGTCGGTGGCATACCCATAGACCACTCCGCCCAACAGCCACATGGGCCCCACGAAGAAGTTGGCAACCTGAATGCGGGAGGTCTCATACAGCAAAGCAGGCCACGAGTGAGGAGCCAAACGAGCAGGAAACGACGTGACAAAGCCGACGCCTTCGTAGACACCAGATACCAGGCTGCGCGGCAGAGGGGCCACAGGACAACCATGAAGAAACGAAAAGGGACCGGCCAGGCGCAAACCCATCCTGAATGAATCCAACCCTGGCTTGGTCAAATGCGTTTCGCTGACAGCGTAGATTGCGGGCGAATCAAGCTGAGAAACCACCCCATGTTTGCCATTAAGCCCGGTGGGGTTAATGGCACCCAACGTGAAGAAAGACTCGTCCGTCACCCCTGGACCAGGATGCGCAGCTTCCCCAACACGCACCGAAAGAAAAGCAATCAAAACGGACCAGTGGCGCACGCCCCTGCATGAAGCCCGTAGCAACAAGCCCAAACAAAGGGCAACAGAAGCAAGGCACCAAAAGACACCAAGCCCAAGTCCAAGTCACTCATGCCTAGACCGCTTGGGCGCAGCCAATAACTCTTCAATGCGGGACATCTGCTCCTGAAACATGCTGCGAAGCACCGACTCCTGGCCATCAACTTTGTCTGAGAGCGCTGTGACCTGAGTTTCAAATCCAGAAAGCCGACCCTCAACTACAGTGCGATGTTCCGTCAAACGAGCCTCAACCTTGGCAAGGACACTCTGTTCAAGCTCCTCACGCAACTGCTCAGAAGGAGCGGGGGCAGACGACAAGGAACGATCACGCTGAATTTTGGCCAATATGTTGGCTTCAACTTGTGCAGACATAGCTTGAACAGAAGCCGGCTGTGAAGGCTTTTGCTTCTGAAGCGCTGCAGCCCAAGGATCATGCACCTGCAAAGGGTCAACCAAAGGGGGCGAAGGCGGACAGACATCACGCAAAGCATTGCGAGCAGCAAGCACTGCATGCTTCACAACCGGGGTAGCTGCAGGCCCAGGTTCTTCACTGATAAGCACTTCACCGAATTGCGTGTGCAAGACAAGCTCAGGAGGATGCGAGCCGGCTTGAACCCGCCACCACAGACCGCCAGGCTGCCCAGCAATAGGCTGGGTAACACGAGCAACCCAACCAAAGGAGGCCAATGCTTTTTCAGCGGCTTGGCGCTGCGTCCCGAAAGGCCAAGGACCGACAACGAACTTACACAATGAGCCACGATCGACAAAAGGGGTACCTTTGAGGACTTTGTGTAAGGCCTCTTCATCAGCTTTGTTGCAACGAACCCCCAATCGCGAACCAACACGAGCAAGTCCAATGATTTCGGCATGGCTTTGTTTAAGGAGCAAAACTTCACTATAGGAAGCTTTCGGAAGCCAGATAACACGAAACTCAGCAGAAGCCTCCTTGGAATCAGCGGCACGCGGCTCAATGAAAACACCATGCAACCCGGAACATGCGAGCAAAGGCTTGAGAAGCCCAGCAGGTATTCTCACAAAGATGTTGAAGATAACTGCTGACTTCGCCGGGGCTTGCTTGTACGCAATGGAATGCCAAGACCTGGCCCAACACTCAAGGATAGCTTCGGGCTCACCCGGCGCGGAGGCACCATGCCACGCAGCACAAGTACAACCTGCGACCGAGCAAGTACGAAGGCAGGGAACCACCTGTATGATCTCCCGCAGTGGGCGCATGGTGAATGTGTCCCAATCACCCTCAAACTGGTCACGAAACACAGCGATGCGAAGTACCTCCGACGGAACAACCTCAACGTTAGTGACCTTAGGGGCATGCTTAGATACCCAGCGATCGCCAATTTGAAGCAAAGTCCCGGAAAGAAGCAATGGAAGTGCACTTTTCGTTGATGTGGCTCGGAATCGCAACGCTTCAAACTTTACAGTCACCTCACCAAGCTCAAGCTCACCGACAACCACAAGGGCCAATGCTGAGCGGCTGACAGGCCTTGAAAGCTTGAAGTACGGTGCAGCTTGTTCCGGCCCGACCAAAACCACTCCAGCTGAAGTAGGGCCAACGTCACCAATTGGGATCTGCGCAAGAGGTGTGTCACCATCAACGAAAACTCCTGAAGGAATGGCAACCTGGTCAAGGTCAGGCAACACCGGAGACGCACGAGCAGGAGCTGCAGGAACTTTGGACTTAGTCTTCTGGCGGTTACCCAGAGCGTGCCCACCAGCCCGAGCCTTCGCCGCAACTACGGCCTGAAGCTCACTAGGGAGAAGGAAAAGGAAAGGAGGAGAATGCAAATTTCCCAAAGCCTTTAGCTCCTTCCAAGGGTTAGAAGCAAGCATGGCTTTCTGAACCTGTCCCAAGCCCAGCTTGGCAATTGCCTGAGCCGCACGTTGATTCACGACTTCATGTGGAGCACCTCGCTCTTTAAGCAAAGAGGCCAAACTGTGCACAAGAAATGAGTCCAGAGCACTGCCATTACCAGGAGAGTGGCGCGATGCATCCTCATGCAAAGACTTACCTCCGTCAGTGACGACCATGGCCAAATATTAAGAACCCTCTCCCAAGCGTCAGCAAGCACCGCTTTGCCACTGGTAGGCCCTTGGGCCGAAAGCTAAA